AAAATGCTGTTAAATCTACCATAGGAGGAGTAGGAATGTTGCTGAGCCCTCGTGCATTGGGCGCCTTAAATAGTATAGAAAAAATCCAACCAAGATTGATAATCGCCTCCTTCAATGGAAATCCAAAGACTACAGTTATTTCCTGTTATAGTCCAACCAACGTAAGTGAAGAGACAGATGTCATTAAATTTTATGATGATTTGTCATCGCTTGTTCGCGAGGTACCAAGACACAATGTTTTGATTATTAGCGGTGACATGAATGCTCAGATCGGAAAGGATCAAAATTTCAAATTTAGCCTTCATGAAACTACTAACAGAAACGGTGAACATCTTAAGGCATTCATAATGAAAACAAACTTGCATGTTTGAACACGAGCTTCCAGAAACGAAAGGGAAAGCTGTGGACGTTTACATACCCAAATGGCACTAGAGCACAGCTAGACTATATCCTAGTAAACAGAAAATGGATAAATAGTGCTGCAAATTGCGAAGCTTACAACACATTTAGCAATGCACATTCGGACCACAGAATTGTCTCTGCTAAAATATGCTTAAGTCTTCGCCAAAACAAGAAGAAATCAACTAAATCTCCTCGATATGACTGGTCGTCACTCTCAGACCCAGGAATAAGACATAAATATACTCTGACAGTTAGAAACCGATTTGAAGCATTACAAACAGATCGAGAGACATCAGATAAAAGTGCGAGTGAACTGTATGACAACTTTATCACAGCTCATAAGGAAGCATCAAAACAATCCATACCAACTAAACCAAAGGCTAGAAAAGAAGCCCCCTGGGAAACTGCCAAAGTCCTGGAAATGAGGGAAACGCTAAAAAGAGCATCTGCTCGAAATGGAACCAGGCGCACCAGAGCTAATATCAAAAACCTGAAAAAGGCACAAAAAGAGTTAGCCAGCACTTATCTAAAGGAACAACAAGACTATGTACAAAAGCAAATCGATAACATCAAAAACTGTCATCAAAGCAGGAGATCAGCTAAGACTTGGAAAACTGTAAATGAAGTAAGCGGAAGAAAAGGTACAACCAAGTCCAAATTGAAAGCGCCCAGCCAAAAAGAGAGGCTACAGCTGTGGAAGGAACATTTTCAAAACCTCCTAGGAAAACCTCCAGTTATTACTAATGAACCAATCCAAACTACTATACAACAAAATCTAAATGTTAAATTAGGAGAGTTCAGCAATGATGAGTTAGATACTGTATTGAAAACAATAAAGAACAAGAAAGCAGCTGGTCTTGACGAAATACCACCGGAGGTGTGGAAAACTCGAGCATTTGATGACATTCTTCTTAAACTCTGCAATGCAGTCTATAACAAAAATCCAATTGAAAAGTGGAACAAAGGATGCATTTTACCCTTCCCCAAGAAAGGCGATTTGAGTATAGCAAAAAACTATAGAGGCATTACCCTGACTTCCATCGCCGCAAAAGTATACAATGCAATGCTCTTAAACCGCTTGCGGCCCGAAATAGAGAAAGTGCTCAGGAGAAATCAAAATGGTTTCCGTAAAAACCGATCTACGGTCTCTCAGATACTTACCGTACGCAGGATCATTGAGGGAGTAAGAGCAAAAAATCTGAAGGCCATTTTACTTTTCGTCGATTTCTCAAAAGCATTTGATTCGTTGAATAGAACAAAGATGATGCAGATTCTCCTGGCATATGGCATTCCTACAGAAACAGTTGATGCCATCATGATGTTATACCAGAGAACACAAGCCATTGTTAGATCCCCAGATGGAGATACAGAACCATTTGACATCATAGCCGGTGTACTGCAAGGAGGTACACTTGCACCGTATCTATTTGTCATTTGTTTAGATTATGTGCTGCAAACATCTGTGGACCAAATGCAAGAAAATGGTCTTACTTTAGAGTATGCAAAATCTCGAAGGTACATGTACCCTGCCAAATATATCACCGATGCAGATTATGCTGATGATCTTGCGCTTTTTAGTGATTTGATTGCAAAAGCAGAGGCTCTTCTCCATTGTCTGGAAAAATCTGCCAGAGGTATTGGACTACATGTAAATGCAGGCAAAACAGAATACATGTCCTTCAACCAGCAAGTAGGCGTTATCTCAACTTTGGACGGGAAGCCTATAAAGCAGGTCAAAGATTTTACATACCTTGGCAGCAATACATCTTCAACTGAAAACGATGTTAAAGCTCGCATTGGAAAAGCTTGGGCCGCAATTGATAAACTCTCAGTGATCTGGAAATCATCTCTTCCAAACCAGATGAAACGGGATTTCTTTCAAGCAACTGTAGTTTCTGTATTGCTTTATGGAAGCAATGCTTGGACCCTCACGAAACGACTTGAGAGAAAGCTGGATGGCACATGCACAAAATTGCTGCGGGCTGCCCTCAATATCTCCTGGAAAGAGCATCCCACAAAAGAAATGCTCTATGGAAACCTCCCCCCCCCCCATATCTCAAGTCATCCGTGAGAGGAGGCTCCGTTTTGCTGGGCATTCATGGAGGAACAAGGCAGAGATCGTTAGTGATGTGCTTCTCTGGGCACCCAAACATGGGCATGCCAGTGTAGGCAGACCTTGCACAACATACATACAACAACTGTGTGAGGATGCGGGCTGCAGACCAGAAGACCTGCCCAGGGCCATGGAGGATAGGGAGGGCTGGCGGAAAAGAGTCACGACCAGATGATGATGTACAGGAATAATAGACATACAAGTGCATCAATACATGGAACAGTTGCCAAACATAGGACCCACCACGTTACAGTGCTAGTACTAGTAGCAAATATCATTATTTACTGATAAACATTGCAGCAATTTTCTTGACAACGCCAGTCTCCCGTAAATATAGACGAGTTTTGCGGCTCATGACGGACAAAACAATCACCCAAGACAACTCATATTTTTGGCCATAAAATCAGATTGTAAATTTTGAAACTGATTGTGATTAAATAAAAACCCTGGAAGCTGAACTACGTTAATGATTCAATTCAATGAGTATGATTATGTATGTATGTATGTAGACTGTCATGATATGGACCGATTTTATTTTTCAATACCATATTCAGAAAGATTTTAGTAATATAACTGAAGGTGTTTCGGCAATGCCTATAGTTCTCTGATTACATCTTATGCCGCCTCCACTGAGGTTTTCGCAAATTGGCACGGTTTACCGTCACTGGGATATGCCGATGACACCACTCTTATTGCAGCTATATTTGCAGCTAAAGGTCCAAATCACTACAGCAGAACTTGAGTCTGTATGTAAACAAATGGGGTTTAAATGTCAATGCGGCAAAATGTCAAGTTATCACATCATGATGGAAGACATAGTAGCTGAGAATGTCCCTAAATTTGTCTTTCTTGGAAGTGTCGTCCCTGGCACAACTAGCGCTTGTTGCCTCAGCATTTGGTAGGCTCAGAAAAACAGTTTGGAACCGAAGCAGGGCTGGAAATACTGGGTGCATGTGCACCTTAGTGCACCCAAAGTTGGAGCTTTGCATCTGAGCGTCAGAAAAATAGTAAAATCTTTGTTGTAGTACTTTTGTAAGATTTTGAAGTTAGCTTCCATTTTAGATTCAAGCTTTAAGTCAAGCATAGAAGAGGAGCAGTAAGATCTGTGATTATGTTTTGTTTTATATGGTGCATCAAAAAGAATTGTGCACCTATTTTTTTTTATGTTGGGTGCACCAGTGTACCTATTCCCTAAAATGAATTTCGAGCCCTGCGAAGGGATATTAGCACAGACCTCAAGATACGACTGTTCCAAGCACTTACTCTGCCAATTGGTACATATGCATGTGAAACATGGACCCGGTAAAATTTGGATGAACTTCTCTTGTTATCCCTTGAAATGAGATGCTTAATAGATGCTTCGGGACCGCATCCCAAATGCAGAAATCCGGTCAAGACTGGTGGCAAAACAACCTTCTTTGACAAGATACGCACTAGGAGGCTCAGTTGGTTTGGGCATGTGATGCGAAGACCAGCAACCACCTAAGGCATGCCACCAGGAGTTCAAAAGCCCAAGACCCCGGGGAAGACCAACAAGAGTTAGAAAGACCATATTCAACCTGACACAGGGCTTACCTAAGAGAAGCAGAGACTATTGCCCTTGATAGAGCTGGCTGGAAGTACCTGACGGAGGGGAGCAAGGGGCCAGTACCTGGCATGAGCACATAGGCAGGTAAACCGTCACTGAATGTAATCGAATATATCAAAGATATCTGCTCTTTAATTTCTGATTAGCTAAATACTTTTACGACATATATATCAAGTGAAGCGCAAATACGTGATAATTTATCGGAATGAATATACTGGTGACCACGCAAGGGGCAGCTGCTTAGCTAGCTGGCCGTCGACGAATTATTATTACGTTTAGGTGCGCACCTTCATGACTACGTTCGTCATTGCCAAATCCGTATGTCAGATTGACTTTGGGAAAACATCGAATTGGAATTGAGCAATATAGACTACAATATAACCACTCGGAACGCGGCAAAAAATATCCATTCACAAAACTAGACTCATTCACATTTCACCTATGTCCCTGATCAACTCGTACATGTATGCTTTACCATTTCCTTTATACTAAATGGGCGATTATAATGCATACAAATAACAACGTTTAACAACTGAACTTACTGAATATCATATGCAAACGATAATCTTATTACTTACAACCATCCAATAGAAGGGGGAAAGGACAGAAAAATTAATACGAAATAGTATACATAAACGAATGGACAGGTGCTGACAGCAGTTCCCCTTTTCTATCAAATCAGCTATTCTGCTTCTACCATTCAATGCACGGAATCCAAGAATAGCCGGATCACAAGATATGAAAGAAATCGGACGTTGCATACTGCAGGCTAACTAAAAATAATACATTTATTAGATATCCATGATTTATACTTGGCTCATGATCCAAAAGAAATTGGTTCAATCAAGTGGCCTTCTGACGAAGGCAAAAATCCCAACAAAGTAATAAGACAGTTACCTCCGCAGTAGGCTATGTCACACCCAGGAGTGGCGGTTAGACGGTACACGTAGAACGTGGCTCCATCTTCATCTGTACACTTCTTTACTCCAATATCCACTTCATCCGTGCAGCAGTCTCCTGGACGACCCTGGTTGATGCATCCTATGCGTGTGACGTATGTGTCATCGGTGGGATGCTCGCCATTCAGCCATATCGGTGCCAAGGTACCACAGTGATGTGGAGCCACACAGGCCTCTGGTATTTTGATGTTCGGGCGGTGGGTGAATCGGTAGCAGCCCTCTTCCAAAAGGTCGTCACAAAGAAGTGGCTCACTTCCAGTGGGAACATAGGTCGTGCTGCGAAAGGCTTCACTGAGTACCCTGTAGCCCGTGCAGCCACACTGTTGTGCAATTCCTATATAATAGAGAAATAACTTTTAAAGTTTTGTTTCAGTGTATATGATGTTTTGATGTTTTATTAGATATCCATTAGAATAGATAACAAATCTAATCTATCCTTCTTCCTGGATTCATAAAACACACAGCACACAAATGTAATACGAATGAAGGCACATAACATAACACTTGCATCCGTTAGACTACAACTAGCATAAAACTACAAAGCAATAAACAAATACAACTACAAAGCAACACGACACTACCAGATCGCTTTTGGTAGGTCAGAGGTCAAATTAGAGCTGTGTACCGATACTCAGTACCGATACTGTACCGGAAAAATTGATTAGGTACAGGTCCAAAATACCTAATCCCTCCGTACCGGTACTGTACCTAAACAATTTCACACCAATTTTATGCCTATTTGTGACCTTAAATGTGGAAATAGCTGGTCGCCAATGGGTTCCAATGTAAGGACAGTGTGTTCATGAAAACAATAATACCTTACTTTTGCCTATATTTTATCTGAGCATTCTCCATAAACCAAAATTAAACCTTAACTATCAAGTGTATACATGTTTTTGTTGCTATTGAAAGAGTTCAGAAGAGCATGTGAATTGGTCGAATTTTTTAGGTACAGGTTCAGGTCCGGACCTGTACCTAAACCTGTGTACCTGTACCTGTACCTGTACCTAAAATTTGTTTAGGTACACAGCTCTAGTAGAGCTGTGTACCGGTACGCAGTACCGATACTGTACCGGAAAAATTGATTAGGTACAGGTCCAAAATACCTAATCCCTCAGTACCGGTACTGTACCTAAACAATTTCACACCAATTTTATGCCTATTTGTGACCTCAAATGTTTAAATAGCTGGTTAACAATGGGTGCCTGTGTAAGGACAGTGTGTTCATGAAAACAAAAACATCTTAGTTTTGCCTATATTTTATCTGAGCATTCGCCATAAACAAAGAATAAACCTTAACTATCAAGTTTATTTATGTTTTTTTTTGTTATTGAAGGAGTTCAGAAGAGCATATAAATTGGTCGAATTGTTCAGGTACAGGTTCAGGTCCGGACCTGTACCTAAACCTGTGTACCTGTACCTGTACCTGTACCTAAAATTTGTTTAGGTACACAGCTCTACTTGAAAGCTATTACCCCTAATGTACCACTTGAAACCAAAGCATACTACCCCTAACGTAAGCCTGCCCCCCCTATTTCAAAAATGGTTATGTACCTCTTGAAACCAAAGCATACCACCCTAGCGTAAGCCTGCCCCCCCCCCCTCAATATCAAACAAGTCAAGTCAAAGTTATCAAGTCACGATTGTCACGGGTAAAATGTATGGCAAATAATAAAATTACTAGTTGGTATGTGTCTAACATACCATAACATGACATAAGTACATGGAACGTCTCTCTAGATGTGTTGGGTAATGTTTTAGTAGTCTTACATCGGATCATCTGCATTAATTTGCGTCTCTCTTCGTCGTATGTGGGGCATGTCATCAGAAAATGATATTCGTCTTCAACTCCATCTTTGCACGTAGGACATAATCTCTGACTGGCTGGTATATTGTTGTGTCTGCCTTTTTCAATCTCTAGGCAGTGTGCTCCGATTCTTAATTTTGTGGTATTAACGCATGGTTGAGGGCCCGCAAAAGGGGGGGGGGGGGTCCGACAACGCTCTACCCTGAATTCGGAAACCTCTCGATTACGCTTTACGATAAATTCCAAGTGGCTACAACGCATTACGTAGAATTAAAAACGCCGAATACGCTCTACACAAAAATATTAGAGCGGTCCGTCTACGCTCTACGTAGAATTAAACGGCCGATTACGCTCTACGGAAAAGGGCTTGCGGGCCCCCCATGGTTATGTACCACTTTAATTTGTTGAAAGCAAAGCATACTACCCCTAACGTACCACTTGAAACCAAAGCATACCACCCCTAACGTAACATGGTTATGTACCACTTGAAAGCAAAGCAAGTCACCCCTAGCGTAAGCCTGTCCCCCCATTTCCAACATGAAGACCCGTAAACTAGTGCGCGCGGGCGAATAGAAAAATTCCGGCCAAAAATAAAAATGCTACTAAACCACAGGAATACAAAGCAGGGTGTATTGTGAATTTCCAGCAGTACATAGCGACGTACACGACAAGCCGGCGCATGCTGGCTTCTTACGGAATTTATGAATCGGCACTGTACGTATACGTATGTACTAGAGGTACAGTCGTGGAGCTTTGTTGCCATCGGTGCCATCCTCCAGAGTTACCACCGGCTCCGTATTGTTGCTAACTACCATGGCGTACCTTTTTTTAAACAGGCGAAAATCAAAGCGCGCGTGGATGTCATTCATAAAATTCATAAAAGTCGGTGTGGCATTACTTGAAAACACTGTGAAGCATCCACGTTGGGTTAAATGGTCAAGTAAGATGAATAAAAGGCTGTTTTGAAAAGACTGGTCTTTTGACATGCTTTTGTAAGACTGTCGGATAAAGTTACGGTCACGCCTTTAAACTCTTGTATCCGCCGAACGAAACACAATGCGCAGGGACGTCAACACCTTGGCAAAGACTATCAACAACCTCCCTGTGCCAACACTAGCTATAGCTGGATTCTCCAAAAAGTAGCTGACAGCAAACCTATGTAAGTTATCTATGGTGATTCAAGGTTTGAGCTCTTACTTCCTTCAGGAAGGTTTGATATACCCCAGGGAACCCCACCGAGACCACATTTTTTCACTTCAAAATATTTGACGTTGGCATACGTTTGTCACGTGACACTCTGTGTTTAACAGGTGACATGAAGTATCCACGTTGGGTTAAATCACCATACACTACGATAACATTAACTGTGGACGTTCGATGACTGTTTTGTAACGACTGGTCTTTTGACGTGGTTTTGTAAGACTGTCGGATAAGGTGACCGTCACGCCTTTAAACTGTTGTATTCTCTTAAGCATTCCAAATTCCGAACATCGCCGAACCATATCAAAACTACATGCTATCACTGATCATAACCTAGACATAGATACCAGCAGACATAACTTAGACTCCAGTAGAAGATAGACTCTGTAAGGTAATAGCGTAGAAGATAGAATACATTTTGTACTTAATTGTAAATAGTGTGATGCCGAACGTGACATACTATCTAGAACAATCCACGTAGACAAACTACGTAAAGGCAGGGAAAAGAAAAAAAAATACTGATGATCATCTCATGTCTACGAGTAATGACTTCACATGCAATAGAAAATCTATGTGAATTCATCTCCAGTTGCTTTAAAAAGAGAGAAGAAATGTTCAAGAACTAAATAAGATAAAATAGATAGTTCCTACGACTTGTATGTTATCCTTTTATGCTTCTATCCTATGTACTATGTATGATATGCAAGGGCTTGAACATGCAAATAGGGGTTCATTGTGTTAGCCGACCAAAGCAGTCAACACCGTCAGAAACGACAACACCTTCAAGGCTGTGTACAACTTCTCTATTTCACACATTAGTATAGTAGCTGACATGTCGACAGCAAACCTAAGACTTAAAATGCTATGTAAGGTATCTGTGGTGATTCAAGGTTTGAACTCTTCTATTCTTGCTTCAGGAAAGTTTGATATACCTCATGGAACCCCGCACCGACACCACATTTTCGCACATCAAAACGTTTGATATTGGTGTACATGTACCTCTATCACATGACACGTGGTGTTCAAAGGGGTAAAATTAATAGTATAATCACGTCAAGTAATTATATATAAGCGGTGTGAATTTCCTAATATTTCTTTGTAATCTACAATCTTTGCCATTTTTTCTGATCTATATGTTCTCCATTTCGAGCTTTAGAAGCTAAGGAGCATAACCAGTTCATAACACCTGGCACAAGTCTTTACTACGGATCTAAGAATAAATGCATGGTTGCGCAGCGTTACACACAAGGAGAAAAGTTTGTGGTCATGCATTAGTCTCTCACTCAGAAGCGGAAGAGCTAATATTTTTACCATTGGTTGTCTCTGTTCGTGAGTTATAAACGCATAATGAACTTGATCGCTCAACACACGGTGCTAAAATCTGGGCTGCAAAGTTCCCACATTTCATAGAACCCGAACTGTGTTCGATCGTGTTCGATATGGGCAATTCGAATCGAACCCGCGTTCCATTTCGGGGTCACCTGAATTTTACAATAAAGCGGCAAAACAAGCCCTTCTGCCTGAGTGTCCTGCAACAGATAAAAAACAACATTTTTCTATAGATACAATTTCCTGGACAGTACATGTCCGCTATCATTTTTTTGGGACATGTTACATGTAGCGAAGCTACTGTCGTATCCTTGAATACTGCGATGATTCTTTACACCTGTATGAATAACACAATGCACACTTTCGGGCGATATGACATATCTGAAAAACTCGTTCAAACCTGGAAGCATGTAGAGTCAAACATACCCCATTTACGGCTCAAATGACTCGGTTGTCCCAAAAATCGTGTTTTAGTGATTTTTGAGAAATGTCCTCAATTTTGAATTACGGGTAATTTAATGAGAAAAATGTCAAAAAAATGCATTTTTTCACCAATATGTTGACAAAAACTAGACCTAAAATCAGAAATTGAAAAATTCCTAAAACACGATTTTTGACCTTATTCCTAGTCGTCGAAGAATATGAAATCGGGAATCGTAGCCAGATTTGAACGATGTTTGCCTAAAAACATGACATGACTTGTGCTCGGAAACCCTGAAATAATTCTTTCTGAGCAAAATTAAAAAAAAAACCATAAAAAACTAACATTAAAAGGATGTTAAGACGATAATTTCATTTTAATTTGACGAAATTTACCACTAAATACTATTTGTTTATTTTCAAATGTTTTATGGGTGGCCAAAACCGGCCAGAATAGCATCTTGTAACCCAATACATTTTCAAACGCGCCTAGAAATGGGAAAGAATAACGTAGTAACAGACCGCCGTGGCAATACAAGGTACAGGTATAACGTCTTCCTCTTATAGTTATATGACAA